GGATTAGATTCAATGCTCTTTAAAGAAGCCTTGAAATAACCTACCATGTCATCCCAAATGACTCTAACCCATGGGTAAGAATTAAAAGCAGCTAGATCATCTAAAAGGTTAAGGTATGTTGAATGGATTGAAACCTGACCTTCAGCAGCAAAAAAAGCATGGGACAAAACATATAACAAGGAAAGCTTAACTATGTTTTCTTCTGGTTCTCTACCCCTCTGAATGGACTGAAATACACTCTTAATATCCTAACACTTGACTTTTGTTTTATAGTCTGGAAAGTATGTATTCCAGATAACACCCCTCTCAGAATCATTATCATGCACTATAGAGACAGTTTCATCATAAGGAAAGCCCATAATGTGGGAGAAATCAGAAACAGAAAATGAGATGATCCTACCTTCAATTTCAAACGACAAAGCATTCTGAATGTTGCTTACCTCAACCATGTTCCCTAAAAGGTAATGTATAAGTTGACCACAACATGACATTTCCTTAGAAGCTAAGAATTTTCCAAAAACAGACTTCTCAAAAGTAGCAAGTTTGGGAGGAAGAAGTTTATACCTAACAAGGTTTATGGAGTCATAAAGTCTAGAAAAGGTTTAACTCTCCTATTCTTTATGTCCTTGCAAACAACATCCTTGCTGACCAGTCTCTTGAAGGTTTGAAACAAACATATTAAAAAGGAGAAGATGAATTTCATATACATAATAGTGGAATAATGTAGGTAGTGGTATTTTAACAACAGAAAATAAGCAGACAAAAGAGTGTACACATTTTGATTTGTGTGGCAATGATAAATGCGAAGATGAGCATTTTGCTAGATTTGGACAATGGGATAATCTATAAGCACTGTCATCCATCTGAAAAATATATCAAATGAGGTACACAATACACAAACAGAACCATAAGAATCACTTTTATCGAAATTAAGAGCAAAATGATGAGTGCATATAAATAAACAGGAGCTACCACAAGCACAATATAACATGCAATAGTCCAATTTACAGTTGAAAACCGTCGATCCATAAATGCAATCAAAACAGCAGGAGAAGAGCAGTAATCTTACGAGATTGAAAGAAAAAATACTACAGAGCCCACGTAAAACAGAATGTCAAACAAATATGAAGAGAAATGGAAAAAACAAGAGAAATATGCTAAAGGATTACGAAAGTAAAATTGGAGTGTGGAAACCAGATACAATGAATACAATGTTGGTGAACGAAAACGGAAACTAACGAGATAAAATCGATATCGTACCTCAAGTAATGAGCGAGGTAGGAACAAAGGTGTTGAACGAAGTTGAGAACTTGAATACAAAATGAAGAAGGTGAAGTCGAATTCGAAATCGTCGAGTAGAAACACGACGAATGTAGACGGGGAAGAACAAATGGTGTCGTGTATCAAGCAATCGGAGCGCTACCTTCCATTGTTAATCGGCATTGAAGAGTGCGAAGAAAGTCGGCATTGAAGAGCGCGAAGAAAGTCGACATTGAATGTGCAGAACGCGCAGACGGTTAATTTTTTTTTAAAAAAAAGTGGGTGGGTAACCAGCAAGGAAGTTGTTTTGTATTTGTGATTACCGTTTAAACGGGTTTCAAAAATTGAGTTAAGTCATATTTTTGGAAAATAGAATAATGATCATATTTGTGTCTTGAGAAAGCCCAATAGTAATTTTGGTACCATTTTTTCTTGTTTAAATCTAGTGTAGGATTGAAAATAATCCAAGTAAAAATATCATTATTCCCCAAATAAGACTTGTTTAATTCTACTAAAACTAGAAAACGGTTCAAATCTATCAAAACATGAGTGAATGATCCGAAAAACAATGTATCTACATTGAATACTTCAGGCTTGAGCTTAGTGTTATAACAGAAATGAGAAAGACAAATAAAGAACGATCAAGAAACAATACACAGATTTACGTGGTTCACTAACGGTGTGTTAGCTACGTCCACGGGGCAGAAGGAGGAGAGTTTTATTGATGTGTGAGGAGTTTTAGATTACAGATTCAGAGTTGTATGATTCCATGGGCTGCTAGGTTTTGGCTTAGAGAGTTTATATAGTACTCTCTAAGACCTAATACAAGAAATCTAGAATAGGCCCAAAACAATAGAATAGGCCCAAAGCAGAATCCTAGCCCAAACTGGTGACTGGACAGATTCAAGGCATAAATCCAATAAATCTCCACCTTGACTTGAATCCTCTCACAATGAGACAGATGTACCTGATGCACCCCCATAGATGTCAGGTGTACCAGATGCTCTCCTCCCTTCCCCCTCAGATATTGCCCACTAGGGGCAATCAGATGCTCTAAATATTTAGCAAGTCCAAACATTGTTGGAACTTGCTCTGTGAAACTGGCTTGGTAAACATATCAGCTGGGTTATCTACAATACCCACTTTGTTCATCCTTATTCTCTTCTCATTCCTTAGGAAATGATATCTGACGTCAATATGTTTAGTTCTCTCATGATGTACTTGATCCTTAGTCAAACAAATTGCACTAAGACTATCACAGTACACAATAGCTTGATCTTGATGTAGACCCAGATCATTAATCAACCCTTTCAACCATATTCCCTCTTTAGCTGCTGCAGTCAATGCCATATACTCAGCTTCTGTAGTAGACAACGTTACTGTACGCTGCAAAGTAGCCTTCCAACTGATGACTGAACCACCAAGAGTGAATACATAACCAGTCATTGATCTTCTACTGTCCACATCTCTGGCATAATCTGAGTCACAATACCCAGACATTAAAAATTCTGTATCACCTCCATAAATGAGACCAAAATCAGATGTACCCTTAAGATACCGGAAAATTCTCTTCACAACTTGCCAATGTTCTTTACGTGGATCACCCATGAACTGACTCACCACACTGACCGATTGTGCTAAATCAGGTGTAGTACAGACCATAACATACATCAAGCTTCCTACTGCATTAGCATAAGGAACTCGAGACATGTATGCCTTTTCTTCAGCTGACTTGGGTGCAAAAGCAACAGATAGATGTGCATTTGATGCACTAGGAGTATCTATGGATTTAGTTGTCGACATGGCAAACTTGGACAATACTCTCTGAATATAGCCTTTCTGTGATAAGAAAAGCTTCTTTTTGCTTCTATCCCTATAGATCTCCATTCCCAGAATTTTCTTCGCGACACCCAGATCTTTCATTTCAAACTCGGTACTGAGAAAACCCTTCAACTTTTGAGCATCAGACTTCCTCTCTGCAGCTATAAGCATATCATCGACATATAGGACTAGATAAATGAAAGAACCATTCACAGCCTTACTGTAATAAACACAACAATCATACGGACACCTACTGTAGCCGATATGCATCATATTGCTATCAAAACGCTTATACCATTGCCCAGGAGACTGTTTTAGCCCATACAAGGACTTTTTCAGCCTGCAAACATAGTCTTTTTTTCTGGGGACCTGAAATCCTTCTAGCTGAGTCATGTATATCTCTTCCTCTAACTCTCTATGTAAGAAAGCTGTTTTAACATCTAGTTGTTCAAGCTCCAGAGCCTGATGTGCAACTATCGCTAGTAACACCCTGATGGAAGTGTGTCTAACCACTGGTGAGAAAATCTCATTGTAGTCTACTCCCTCTCTCTGCGTGAAAGGAAACTGCTTATATTAAATTCATAAAAATAAACATCCAAACATCTAGCCAAACCAACACTCAAACATCATTCTTACTCTATACCCACGACATCCCTGTAAACACCATATAACCTATGAGCTCTCTCACTCTCTGATCAGATATAGAATAGACCACCCAACATTGAGCAAGACTAATCGCTGAACATTCGAAAGATTCGAAGTTATTATTAACAAAATTAGCCTGATTGCTTCCGCTCATTCTCACACCAAAACACCGTCTATCCCTAGACCCGAGTAGCAAAATAAAAAAGGCAGTACTAAAAGGTAAGATTACACACGACATAGAAACGACTAACACTAAATCAAAAATAACAACAACTAAAAGGGTAAATTTATTGAATCCCAACACCTCGTTTATTCCATGGTGGTGGTTCAAGAGGAGGCCGAGCCATCAGGACCGCTGTGATTGATTCTTCAACGCTAACCGAACTCCGGCCTTCAACAAACTCGTCGCCCATCATCAATCTGCTACTCGCTGGAAACAAGGCTTTTCCGCTAACCATAATTTCCATCGTTCGCTGAACACGAACTGCCGCTAACAGATTCCGCTGACCCAATTGCGGCATCACCCTCACCTTCGAAGCCCTGCACACGAACTGCCACCTTGACTACCTGGTTGATCCTTGCTTCCGCCGTCCGTTAATCTTTTAATACCAATCCTACGAGCAGATCTGACGCAGCCCAAACCCCAAGCCAACTGGAACATCCATCTGCTCTAGAGTCGTTTATAAGTCTGTGTGAATAAGTCGTTTATAAGTATGTGAATAAGTCGTAAATAAATACTCCCTCCGTCCCGAATTGAATTGCAAACTTTGACCGGCACAAGGATTAAGAAATGACAATAAATGATGCTTGCTTTTTACACTTTTGTCCATTTTTCTAAAAGTAGATGTCTTTAAGTTAATGGAGAAAAAGTAAAGGTAAGGGTAAATTTGTCACTTTATTCTTATTTACATACCTAAAATAAAAAGTGGAAAACCATTTTAGGACAACCAAAAAAGGAAATTTTGCAAATCAAATTGAGACGAGGGAGTAAGACTTAATGACTATATCCATTGAGTTGTAAATAAATAGGTTCGGATAAGACTTGTTATTCTTATTTTAGTCTTATTTATTACTCCATGGGTCTCTAAATAATCCACTTTCCGTTTATATAATCTTGTTTTCCTTTTTTGGTAAACAAATTTATACTCGAATGGACGTACGGCATATAAAACGCCAACCTTTTATCCAATTATTATCCGATGCATGAATCCTTTCAATTCTCATTTCCCTATATAACCATCCCTCTTATTTTAATACTGCTTCACCTCACTTACCTCATCAACATTTACATCTCCCAACTGCGAACAAAAACATCTGAAACAATGCCCTGCCTCACGTCGTCCGCTGCTCTGCTTTCAAAATGCACTGTCATCCCGGCGGCCAAATCCACTCTACCGGACCTCAAACTTTCCGTTTCCGATCTGCCCATGCTCTCCACACACTACATCCAGAAAGGCACCCTCTTCACTCTCCCGCCCTTTTCCTTCGCCCATCTCATCTCCTTGCTCAAGCGGAGCCTCTCCCGGACTCTCGCCCATTTTCCACCCCTCGCCGGCCGGCTCATCACCGACCAAGACAGACACGTTTATGTTAACTGTAACGACGCCGGCGCCGATTTCGTCCACGCCACAGCCGGATCCGTTTCCGTCCGTGACGTCGTTGGTGGTGTGGATGTTCCGGATGAGGTGAAGGAGCTGTTTCCGTTTGACCTCACTGTTAGTTACCAGGGGCATTTTCTTCCAATTCTTGCCGTTCAGGTGACGGAGCTAGCTGACGGCGTGTTCATTGGGTGCGCGGTGAATCACGCCGTCGCTGACGGTACATCTTTTTGGAATTTCTTCAATACTTTCGCGGAGGTGGCCAGGGGCGTTGAGGGGATTTCGAGGCCGCCGGATTTTCGCCGGGACTCAGTTTTTATGTCTCCGGCGGTTTTGAAAATTCCCGCCGGTGGGCCAAAAGTTACCTTCGACGTCGACGCGCCGTTAAGGGAGAGGATTTTCAGCTTCAGCAGAGAATCCATGAGGAAGCTCAAAGCAAAGACCAACACCCAGAAACAGAACGCCGTCGAGTTAATGGGAAAACAGAGTAACGATCCTTTGAATACTGCAAACGGCAAGATTACGCCGTTAAACTGCATGGTCAGCGCCGTTACATTGACTAACAGTCAAAAAGATGAGATCTCATCGTTTCAGTCGCTATGCGCTTTGCTGTGGCGTGCGGTAACGCGTGCGCGGAATCTCCCAGATACAAAAAAGACGACGTTTCGTATGGCCGTAAACTGCCGCCAGCGGCTTGAGCCGAAGATGGACCCTCTCTACTTTGGCAATGCGATACAGAGCATACCAACTTACGCCACCGCCGGCGACGTCCTCTCTCACGATCTCCGGTGGTGCGCCGAGCAACTGAACGTTAACGTGAAAGCCCACAACGATGCTATGGTTCGAAAGTACGTTGAGGAATGGGAAAGAGACCCACGCACTTTTCCGTTAGGGAATCCTGACGGTGCCATGCTTACGATGGGGAGCTCGCCGAGATTCCCGATGTACGACAACGATTTCGGGTGGGGCAAACCCGTCGCTGTTCGGAGCGGAAGGGCGAATAAATTCTGCGGAAAGATTTCGGCCTTCCCAGGTCGCGATGGGGATGGGACGGTAGATTTGGAGGTGGTATTGGCACCGGAAACTATGGCGGGTCTTGAATCCGACCTGGAATTCATGCAATACGTATCGGATGATTAAAATAGGTGTCTACTGTGTAGATAAGCCGTAAAATGGTCTTTGTCGTCTGTTTTTTAATTACTCTAATTGTATACTAGTCTTCTCGAGTTTGATTGAACTCAGAAACAATAAAATAAAATCTGTATAATTGATTGAGATTTTAAAAAAAGTAAGAGAAATAACAAGAATCATAAATTTAGGAAAATGGTGAATTTTTTGGGATATTAAAAATTAATTGCACCATTTTTTTAAACGTGGCTGGCAAACCACCTAAGCTGGTGGAGCCCATGAGAAAACATTGGAGAACATTTCTGAGTTTTACTAAAAATAGCCCACAAGAGCCTCCAAATACAGAAAAAAAACTGAAACAAAATAAATGAATTCCAATCCAATAGAAAGAAGGGTGCTTCTACGGTGCACTCCTTAATTTGGTGTGTTTTGGTACACATCTTTTTTAATCACCCATCATCCTTTTAAACCACTCATCACATTATATCTTAATCTTACACCACCTAATATCCTCATTAACTAAACATAATAATTTGCCATTTTTGCATTTAGATCCTTCACCGGATTAGAAAAAAAAGGGTTAAACTGAACAAAATCGTCAAAGGAGATTTATTTAAATAGGTATTTAATACGTATTAAATTCCATTATTATCATCGGCGGTAGACTAAAAGAAAAACTAACATACATTTTTGAAATGAAAAAAAAAATTGCAGGGATACTATGTTTGCAGAGACTGAAAAAATATTTAAACCTTAATTATATTAGGAAGGACAAATATGGTATAAAAGTCCTATTTAAAAAATAAAAATATACATAGTCCTATATTTAGAAATTTAAAAAACAATTCAATCATATTTAGGCTAATAACTCAATCCTCACAACAAGTCGTTAATCATATTTAGTAGCACAATACTAAAATGTGATTGGATAAGAAAATGAGTGTACCGATGCACTCAAAACTTAGGAGTGCACCGTAGAATTTTCCTAGAAATAAAAGCAATAGTACCCTCTAAAATTTGAAACCTGAAAATTGGAAGAATTCCATAAAGAAGTATTTACGAACTGGATTGGGCATACTCTCAACTGAATAAAAACAGTAAAATGGCCCAAACCGCAAATTGGATCAGCAAGACATGGGTTGTCCAATAGCCTTTCTCATTGTGTGTCCAAAAGAAATCCCATTATGTTTGCCTTATCTATAAAGGTCCGAGTCAGACCATTCCACTTACCTGAATATGCATCGATTTCTACCTGAAAGTTCACATGGCCTCTATCCATAGCCCAGGTTGTCGCTATCACAAACGCTCGCAGCTCCATTTCCTCACTGGATTGAGCGGAAAGATTACAGCTAATGGCTCATATCATCTCTCCCTTTTTGTTCGAGATGAAAATAGTGTCTTATCATATTCGGCACACTTCTTTTATTATATACTTGTATACTATACCAAAGCTATTACATTGCTAAGCTTGCCATTATTCTCATATAGTGTCTAGATCTCTAGGGTTTTAGCCAAATTAGTTTTTTTCCCGGTCCAATGGTTTCGCATAGCACTATCGCCGCTGCCTCTTCCCCATCACCACCGCCGTATCTATGCCAGTGACCGAACCTCCTGTGTTGAGCGCGGTAGACACACCGGTGACAGACTCCTTCGTCTCTCAGACTACGGCGTTGTTCTCCTTTACCGCTTTATGGGCGAGCAACCGAGTTCCCTAATAGCTTCGGTGTTCCAAGAGTCTGCGCCGCCGTCTTCCTGGGTCCCACTTATCTTCATGCGGACGTCGACGGTCCCGAGCCTACAGCCGCCGTTCCAGCGACCTGCACTCTCCATGGCCGAATATAACAACATCGGGGGACGCTGTTTTGCCGGCCGACCCTCGAGAGCAGTCCTGGATTGATAATGCCCTCTTCTGCTGATCCTGTTGGACGTCGTGAAGCCCCTCCTCTGCTTCCTACATCGTTCGCAAATCTTGCTCAAGGTATGAGTTTCGGTGCTTCCTCTATCACCACTATTGTGACCATCAAATTATTGGTCGTAGAAGATTACTTACCCTGGCGTACTCCGTTTGAGTCCTTGATCTCCAATGGCCTTTTGGGCATTCTTGATGGCTCTCTACCGGCTCCACCCTTATATACATACGATTTATATCAAACCTAAATGATGAATCCCGAGTATTATCATTGGCTCAAATTAGACCAGACTCTCTGTTCTTGGTTGTTTGCCACACTCTCTCTGTGATATACTGGTTGAGGAGCATCAATTGAAAAATTCCACACAACTATATGCCAAAGGTTGGAATCCCGTTTTATGGTTGCCAGTTTGACACGATCCATGGAATTGAAACAAATATTATCCCTATGAAAAAGAAAGACAATTAGACCATGGATCAGTATCTACGTGAGATTAAAACTATTGCAGACTCTATGGCCCCCATTAATTCCCCAACAACTAATCAAGATCTCATGCAACATGCACTTTTTGGGTTAGGTCCTGGATATAAGTCACTTGTGGATCCTCTTAGACTTTTCCCGGAAGGTCTCACATTTGATTCCCTTTGCACCTAGCTTGTCGATCAAGAAGCTCGTCCTCAATATCAACATCGTTTGAAGTCGGTCGCAGGAGTGCCTGCTTTTGCTGCCTCTTCATCGCACGGGAATGCTCCGGTAGCCGCACCGTCCGGTGCTCAGCAGCCACACCGAGGAGGGCGTGGTGGTCGCGACAGAGTTCAACGCGGCAGTGGCAGTCGCGGACGTCAGCAAAAGTTTCAGCGGTAGCCTCCTTTCGCCCAGCAGCAGTATTTCGGCCAAGGGAAGCCGTAACAGCCGCATGCTGTATACGGATGAGGGCCACAACAGCCGAATCCCATGGGTACACCTGGTACATTTTTATGTAATTCTGTTGGGTCATTGTCTTATACTCTGGCACAATCTATTTTTTGTACTAACTATGCTTCTACAGGATCTTCACCCTTTGAGAATAATTTTGGTTCCGTTCCTCCACTTATCGTCTGTCAAATCTGTCATTCTCCAGGTTATTCTGCTTTTATGTGTTCCTCTCATTTTGTTCAATTTCAGGCACCTGCTTTGGCTGTTAACACCATTGAATCTACTCTGACTGTTTGGTATCCTGACTCAGGCGCTTCCGCTCATATGACTTCTAATGAAGGTATTTTGAAAAATAAATCTATTTTTTCTGGACCACTAACCCCTCACATGTTGCACTCAGTACTCATTTCGCTCTGGGACCTGTCTGGCATCGTCGCTTGGGACACTGTGCAACCGTATTTTAGATAAACTTAAAAAGTCTGGATCTATTTTTAGTAATTCTAATTATTCTCATGATTGTATTTCTTGTCGGTTAGGAAAATCTAAACGGTTACCTTTTCAAGAAGTTTAGCATAAATCTAATGCTCTATTTTTAATCCGTTCTGATGTATGCCATTCTTCTGTTCTTTATGAAATTGGATTTAAGTATTATGTTTTATTTATTGATGATTTTTCTCGTTTTACTTGGCTTTATCCTATATGCAATAAGAGTGAAGTTTTGAAACATTTTGCACATTTTGAATTAATGGTTGAAAGTTTACTTAATTCCAAAATAAAAAATTTTCAAAGTGATGGACGGGGTGAGTTTGATAATCATGGTATGCGTAATCTTTTTCTCCAGTACGATATTTTATTTCGTAAATCTTGTTCTGATACTCCTGAACAAAATGGGGTTACTGAGAGAAAGCACCGTCATCTTCTTGAATTAACTCGCACTATGCTTTTTGAAGCAAAGATGCCGACTAAATTTTGGGTTGATGTTGTGTTTACTGCTACCTATATTATTAATCATCTCCCCACTCCCAATTTAAATGGTGCATCTCCTTTTGAAAAATTATTTCATCGATCTCGAGACTTTGCTTGTATGCGTGTATTTGGATGTGCTTGCTTTCTTAATTTTAATGCCACTTCTGCAATTAAACTTTTCCCTAGATCTTTTTTGTGTTTTTCTAGGATATGCCCCATAGTATAAAGGTTACTGTTTTCTTGATCCGATTACTGGTAGAATTTACATCAATAGGAATGTTAGGTTTCATGAAAACTATTTTCCTAATCCAGAATTTATTTCTTCACGGTCACATTCAGCTGCGCCAGTCATGTCTCCGGTGTCATGCATCTGTCAGCTTGCAACAAAGTGCAACCCTTTTCAACCCCCTGCCACCGACTCTTCCTACTGGATCCGGCCAGACAACCACGACCAACAGCCCACACCTCCGCCCAGAACTTCCTCTTGTCAAGACCAATTTGGCAGACACAACCTCCTGTCCTTCCTCACCCACCGTCCAGACCACACCATAATCCTCTACCCATTCCCTTCAGCCACCCTCTCCCTCTCATCCCATTAGTTCCTCAACCCACCGGCAGAACACGGCCACCAATCCCTGCAGCCAAACCGAGCCTTCCACCTCACCGGAACCTCCCCATGTGCATGGTCATCCCATGCAATCTCGTTCTAAATCCAACATTTTTAAACTAAAATCTATTTTTTATCTTAAAACATATATTTCGGCATGTGATTCTTCTTGTTTTCAGTTGCTAATAAAGATGGTAAATGAAGGGTGGCTATGGCCGAAGAGTTTAACGCTCTTGTTAGGAATATTTTATGGTGTCCAATCTAATTAAATATCTTTGTATTTGTGTAGTTATTTGTTAAACGTGTAATATGAGCCACAAATGTATATCAGCCCATTAGCTTCTTTGTAATCCATAAGTTAGCCAACTTCTCCTATAAAAGGAGGCTAACTTATGGAAACCCTAAGGATCGTAAGGCTGAGAGCATAGATGCAAGATAGAGAGTAAGGTTTGCCGCTGCTCTCCTTCTCAAGGGAGAGCTGCGGCCAGTTCACGGTATACCAAATTTAGTGATTCATCTCGATATTTTTCTATCTGCTTCTTCTTTATCTGTAATGGTTGTTTGATTGTTTAAGAACTGGGATTATCAATTGGTATCAGAGCCGATCGGGAACTGATCAGAAGAACAAGGACAAAAGACTCTGTTATATTTAGGATCATCTGTAATTCTCGAGTTTAACCTCTGTAATCTTGTTTTTGATCGAAATATTGTAAAAGTTATAATGTTGGAATCGTAATCTCGAAACGACCAAGCAGTATATCTCATATTCTATTTTTCGCAAGATTTCAGTTCAGAAGATCTCGA